AAACACATTGATCATAAATCCTTCCACAAGTAAAGAAATAAACTTGAATATTAGTGTTCCAGTAAGTTCCACCACCACTCATAACGACATACTCTCACCTGAAAGAAATGACCTTTTAGCAACAAGGTCCTTCACACATATCCCTTATGAGTGTTGGGGAGCACTCATTGAAACACTAATATTCAAGGTTATTTCTTCCAAATTCAGCAGCATCTGTATGCATCAGTTACCTTGACATAAAGACTACGGCTCATATTGCACCCATGACACCTACAGCCTATCTTCAGCTTCAGCTGTAAGATGCAGCCAGTAGGTTTATTTGTAAACAAACCTCATTTGATCATCATGACTGGCATCATAATGATCATATGACCAGGAACCACACTCATTGGTGTTTGTTAAGATCAGTCTTAAAATTAGAAGCATGCAAAAGGTCCATGTGACCCTGGTGGCCATCTTAGGTGTGGCAGAGTTTATTTAAGACTCTGGCTCCTGGTTTTGGCACGCATTCTAGTTTTGTTAGTGTAGGGACAGGTCACCCATCTGTCAAGCACAGTATTAACAATAGGGAAGGGTCCAGATGAGGAAGGAAAGCATGGAAATCCACCACTCTCTTGGGAACCTCTCCACTTGGGCTCGGACCTGCTAGGCCCCATTCTGCCCCTTGAGAACTACTCTGCTACACGCTGTTGTCACCCATGAGTGTTTCCCAATGGGTCACCACCGGACTTGTTGTGAACTGTTAAATACTTTGATTTCAACACAAGTTTTTCAACTGCATCTGCACTTATGAGAGTGTGTGTTATGGCCGCTGCACCAACCCACAAGCTGATCACACATCCCTGCCAGCACAGAATGCTAGTCTGTCTGATCCCTTTCTCTGCTGTCCTGAATGATAGCATTCACCTCCAGCATGCGCTTGAAGCTCGAGATGAGCACTTCCAATCAGCCCTTGTTATGTATTCATCTCCTTGTAATCAGCATGATCAAGAGGCAGCAGGGTGAGAGGAGAGGAGCACACGGCCCAGCAACTATAGTATGGATCAGAACAGGACAAAGTGCATAATGTAGCACTTGGTCCCGGGGGGGGGGAATTACCTCAGATTTTTAAAATGTAGTGATATTTTTTTTTCTTTGAAGAGGATTAAACTACTGGTATATCTTTGATAAATTGTTTTTTTTTCTAGTATGGTGCAACAATATCAAAGAATGACAGCTATCAGAAAAAAAAAGGTTTCTAATAAAAAGCTGCATCATTTGATATCACTTTCATAATGGAAGAGACATTTTCTTTGTCTTGTATACAACAAGCATATCTCTAGATTCTAGATCAGGGGAACAGTACAACCATTAAAGTTTTACTAAACCCACAACAGATAAATGAGTCTGTATATGAAGTAAAGCATGCTTGTTATACTCACTGTGGAACCTAAGGGGTTAATCCTCTGCATTGTGTAAAAAGGATGTTTGATCCTTTCTTCTCTGATCCTCCCCTTCTTCCAGTGTCTCTCTCTTATCTCCTAATAAGATATATTGTGCAAAGCCACTCTGCACATGCTCAGTATGGTGTGTATTGCTAGAGAGGTTCTTTTTTTTTTTCTTGTGAGAGTGCATATGATCAGCACAGAGCCAATCAGCACTGTCCAAACAGAGGTCAGAGGATCTGCATCCTCCTAGAGCAAAATGAAAACTCCTCCTACAAGCTTTAACCAGTGCTCGGCTGGACACTGCTAGAAGTCACAAGACTGCTCTAACTGCTGATGAGAAAAGGTATTTAGCAGGTTATATTTACTAAAATACTTGCACTTCCATGTTCTGTGTACTGTGGGAGACCAGATATAGTGTATGCAGGGTCCTGGGTTTAGCAACACTTTAAAGAGGAGTTCCACTCATCCTGTCAAAAAATAAAAGTCAGAAACTACAAAAACTGTAGCTGCTGACTTTTAAGAAACAAGCCACTTACCTGTCCCTCGGTCCCATGGTGTGTCCCCCCGCAGCCCGTTTCACCGGCAGTCCTGTATTGCAGGAGGCCGGCATCTTCAGTGTGGGCACCCAGCTGTGATAGCTTGTGGCTTCACAGCCGGCTACCCACTGCGGAATACGCAAGTAGGGCTGCGCTTCATGAATGGTCCTGTAGTCTTCTGAGACCTGTCACACATCCCAAAAGACTACAGGGAGGGAGGACACCTTCCGTTTCCAATTGCCTAGGCGATCGGACTGGAAGTGGGAGAAGGTACCTGTCAAATTCGGATACCGGCTCCCCCCCGCCCCCCAAAGGTGCCAATCCTAAATGGGGAGTAGTCCTTAAAGCAGAACTTCCCTTTTGGGTGGAGCTCCACTTTAAGGTCATGGTAAGACAATACAACAAGCAGTAACACACATGAATTATTGTACTGCAGTACCATTCATTTTGCATAGTACACCAACATACTAAAGCACAACTGTAATGCAGCATTCCATAATGTACAGCAGCACCTGGTATTGCATTGTGATTAAAAGAAAATAGATCAGGTCTGATTTTTGGCATATCAAGATGGGTTGGCAACCTATTCATTTTCATGGACTGCCTAAAGCAATGCGCGTTAACACCAGTGGTGTATTTATGTTTCCTGCTGCCCTGGGCAACACAAAAATTGTCTCTCCCCCCCCCCCCTCATGGAGAGACCCTGACACCAGCCAACACCTCCCTTCCCCACAAAGAGATCCTGACATTGACCAACAACACCCCAGCCCCCCCGCCCCCACCCGAGAGAGCCTTCCACTACCACCGCACCCTCTTACACTGGCAACCCGACCCCCCCCCCCCCACACCCCCCCCCACCACACACACACACACACACACCCTGGCAAGAGATAAGACAATCACCTTCACAGCTCCCCGGGAACAAGAGTCAGGCTCTGCATCTGCATATACCATCAAGTAACCCGCAGCCTCTCTGAGATTCCACCTGCTCCCCGTACTGCGTGTGTCCCTTCTTCCTTTCATTCTTTCATGGGATGGCACTGCCCCCCTGAAAAATGCTGCTGCCCCCCTGAAAAATGCCACCCTAGGCAACGGCCTTGTTTGCCTTTTGGTAAATACACCCCTGGTTAAACACACCGCAAAAATAACCTAAATGTTGTACATTTTCAAACTTCATCCCTGAAATATAAGGAATATAATACCGAATCCAAAAATAAATTCACAAAAGGAAGAAATTAGCTGATACGTTTTTTTTTTTTTTTATTTAATTAAAACAAATTGGTGCTTTGACCGTACATGGCTTACTTTAAAAGCCCCCCCCACCCCAGCAGCAATTCACTTTTCTTTCACTTCTTTATTCTCTTCCTTTAAGGTATGGAACAGCATGGGACTCACTGATGTTCCTTTCTTGCCTCATCACTGTTACATGATGGGAAGAGTCCTTAGCCATATGTAAGTTGCAGCTAGAATGCTAGATTGGACAGCACTTTGTAGCCTACAGCTGAAAAGACTGGCAAACAAACATAAGAAAGGTGAGCATGAGATCCTGGGGAGGGGAACATCTAAATAAACCTGTTACTTTTCCCTGCATGGATACGGCACAGGTTCAATCCTCAAAACCTTTACAGTTATAGACAGCTTGACAAAAGTGAAGCTCCTAAATGAATCATTGTCATCTATCTTTTCATCCAAAGTTACTAAGTGGCCAAATACAGAGGTGCAATTTCTAGGGATGAGCTCAGGCATGCTCAGATCCTAGTCCGAACTCACCTGAGTGATCCCACCAAGAAGTGGTCACTGGAATTCTCTGTCCCACAACCGCATATATGCATGCCCATTATGTACATATTGCAGTGGAGCAGGCAATGCCTCAGCCGCTTATGATTGGCACAGATGACAGCTTCCTGGCAGGATCCATACTTGAGCTCATCCCTAGCAGTTACACCTAAACAAGCTTACATGGGATAAATGCCTGACACAGATGGCATTCAGGCCCTTACGCTAAAATAATTAAGATCACTGACTAATACACCAATATACAGTATTTTATTTTCTTAAACTATTTTTCAGATGTGTCAGGCCCACAGGACTGGTACTATTATTTACAAAAGGTGACCATATAACAGTAAACCTGACTTTTGTGTGTCAATGATATGAATGCATTGTGCGGAAAAGTAGTATATAGTAGTGATCAATCTAATAGATATTCAGCATATGGTTTTAAAAGACAAATTCTATCCAACAAACTTGATCTATTTATATGAGGAGGTAAATTTTAATCTGAACATTGAAAAAGCTATTTATGTGATACCTTTGAATTCTGCATGCAGTTACTTATATTATGCCTGGTACAGCAGTTATGAATGCAAGGATTAGAGGAGAATGTTTGTATGCGGTTAAAACATAACCATAAAAGGCCAAATTCACAAAGCTTTAAAACAAGCCTAAGGCGTTCTGTTTTCAGCCACATGACTGTAATTTTTTTAATCACTCACTTGTTTCGTAAAAAATGCATATACACACAAACACACACACACACACACACACATACACATATACACACACATACACACACACACTACTTTGCCAAAAGTATTGGGATGCCTGCCTTTACACACACATGAACTTTAATAGCATCCCACTTTTAGTCTGTAGGGTTCAATATTGAGTTGGCCCACCCTTTGCAGCTATAACAGCTTCAACTCTTCTGGGAAGACTGTCCACAAGGTTTAGGAGTGTGTCTATGGGAATGTTTGACCATTCTACCAGAAGCACATTTGTTAGGTCAGGCACCGATGTCGGATGAGAAGGCCTGGCTCATAGTCTCTGCTCTAATTCATTCCAAAGGTGTTCTATCGAGCGGAGATCAGGACTCTCTGCAGGCCAGTCAAGTTCCTCCACCCCAAACTTGCGAATCCATGTCTTAATGGACCAAAATGTCTTGGTATGCTGACACCTTAAGAGTTCCCTTCACTGGAACTAAGGGGCCAAGCCCAATCCCTGAAAAACAACCCCACATCATAACCCTCCCTCCACCAAATTTTACACAATGCACAATGCAGTCAGGCAAGTACTGTTCTTCTGGCAAATGCCAAAATGCCAAACCTAGACACGTCCATTGGAGTGCCAGATCTCCCACTGCTTTAGAGTCCAGTGGCTGTGTGCTTTACACCACTGCACTGGCTTGAATGCAGTTGCTTGGCCATGGAAATCCATTCCATGAAGCTCTCTTTGTTGTGCTAATCTGAAGGCCAAAGTTTGGAGGTCTTTAGCTACTGACTCTGCATACAGTTGACAAGGTTGACTGCGCACTGTGCTCTTAGCACGTGATGAGCCCGCTCTCTCATTATACATGGCCTACCACTTCATGACTGAGTTGTTGTTGTTCCCAGTTGCTTCCACTTTGTTATAATACCATGAACAGTTGACCTTGGAATATTTAGTAGCTAGGAAATTTCATGGAAGGACCTATTGCACAGGTGGCAACTTATCACGGTACCACGCTTGAATTCACTGAGCTCCTGAGAGCGACTCATTTTTTCACAAATGTTTGTAGAAGCAGTCTGCATGCCTAGGTGCTTGATTTCATACACCTGTGGAGGTGGATACCATGGAGGTGATTGGAATACCTGAATCCAATGACTTGGAGGGGTGTCCCAATACTTTTGGCAATATTTACACTATATTGCCCAAAGTATTGGGACACAATACAAGGCACCAATCCCAAAAAACCCTACTTGCTGAGGTAATGACCAGCAAAAAGGCCAGCTTCTCAGGAAGGAAATTTTGGGAAATTTCTCAAATGATTTCTCAAAAGATAAAAGAAAAATCATGTTCCACTCTCATGTAATGTGCAGATTAGTAAGCATACAAATGCTGGACGGAAGTAGCACTCCAGCGTGCTTTCCACTGACCAGATGTGACAACACCAGCGGCTTCCACCTGATGCATTTTGCCCCTCCCACTGGGCCTTTGAAGCAACACGATTGTGCTTTTAACTAAAATAAATGGTATTTAATTATGTGGGCCCCCTTTTTCTCTCTGTATACAACTATATGAGGAGTTTATACCCGTGAGTGGGAAGTCAGCAACTGGGGATTGGAAAAAGGATTAGACCCTCAGGAGGTCCAGAAATCACAGATAAAGCATCTAAACACACAAGCGCGACAGACTCTTTATTTAATAAGAGTCCACGTGAGTTGGGGAGTAAGTGGGACCACCAGAGGGGAACACTAAGGATTCGCTGCACTTTATGAAGAAATATTGCATGTTTGCACATAAAGGAAATATATCAATTTAAATTAATGAATTATTTGTCCATACAAATATTGTGATGGTGTACTCTACAAGAATACTGTTATATAGAGCACACTGTATGAATTTATTGATATGTATATTATGAGGTATTTGCACATTTAACTGGGCTGCACTTCTTTGTTAGAATATTTAAATACAAAGTTATGTCCATCTGTGAGAACACAGAAGATGGATGCGAGACCAGAGCCTCTGAAGTTTCTCTGGAGGAACAAATGCTCTAATATGCCTGACCAGAATTAATACCAGGTACTCTACGTAGAAGTAAGAACTCAGGATCCACCCAAATTCCTGCAAAATGGTCGCAGTGATGGACAAATTGGTCTTCATTTCTGAAGAAGACTCCATCGCCAGCAATATATCCTCAAGATAGGCCACGATTGAGATCCACCAGCAGGGCAGCAGGGCCAGCAGCACAGCAACACTTTGGGGAATACCCAGTGGGGAGGTGGATACCAGTCTTAGGAGAAGAACTACAAATTGGTACTGGTCCTGTTCCAACTCAAACCAAAAAGAAACACTGATGGCTGTGGCAAATAGGCACATGAAAATGTGTCTGATGTCAATAGATGCAAGAAGATACCCTTGATACAAGGAGGCCACTAAGAACCGGATGAACTCTATCCTGAATTTATGAACTTTCGCATATACGCTGAAAGATTTAAGGTCCAGAATAGGGCAAAACCCCATCCTTCCTGGGAACTGTGAACTGATGTAATTAAAAATACCCACATTTTGTTTTTTGCAGGAGGAACCTAAGCAATTGCCCCATGTTGTAACAGGTTGGATATTACCCTGTGTAAGTCCTGAATCAATTGAGGAGGCAGATGAAGGTTGGATGTGAAGAAGTAGTCTGACTGGGGTAGAGAATTAAATTCTATTTTGTATCCTATCACCTCACAAACCCAATTTACAAGATTAATATTATTATTATAGAGGATTTATATAGCGCTGACAGTTTGCTCAGCACTTTACAATATAAAGGGAGACAATACAGCAATGATACAGTTCAATACAAGAGGGTAGGAAGGCCCTGCTCCTTGGAGCTTACAATCTAAGAGATATATAACAACCAAAGACCTGCGAAGTCCAGAAGATATTGGCCTACCCAGATAAGTTACCCTCAATATTGCTTCCATAACTGGAAGTTCTGTAAGGACTTTTTTTAGCAAGCAGACCAACTGACCAGCATTTAACTCACAAAAGCTTGGAAGTAAGCACTTCTGATCCAGTTTGGAAATCAGTAAGCCAATGTTATAGACAGCATTGCAAAGATACCCAACACCCTACACAAGGTATTCTGCAAGCTCCACATAAGCAATGGGGACATTTATGCCATACAGGCCAACATGCAGGAGTTTTGCTTAAGTAGTTAAAGCCTGAGAAGTCAGGGCAGAGGCCAAAACAGGACAAAGCAAGGCTCCGGAAACAGCATACAGAGTCTTTAACTCTGTTTTAGCCTTCCTATCAGCTGAGTTCTTAAAGAATTGAAATTCCTGTCTCAGAAAAATTATAGTTTTATTGAGTCTGAGATCAGTGGATCCACTATTGGTGAGGATGCCCATTTTCTCAAAGGATGTGCTAGTCAAGAGACACTCAGTACAGAAAACAAAATCGTCCATGGCCATGGTAAAAACTTCAAAGGACAGAGTGCCCTTTGGAAATAAGGATACTATCACAGCTTCATATACCTATGGTCATGACTCATAAGCAGTGTAATGTGGTTGTTCAATTGTGAATTAAGTAATTTATTGTGCCCTTTCTTCTCCTGCACATGGAACTGAAGAATGCACTTAGAACTCAAATGAATGTACTGTTTTCATATCAATGGCTCTCATACCTGAAGGTGCTAGGTCTTCAGGCTCAGAATAAATGACACAAGGTTCCTGCTGATGCAGAGATATACTGTAAATGAAGTGTTACACTACACTTCATTTATATCTATTTCTGAAATGCACCACTACAGCAAAAAATATCAAATGACATTTCATAAATGCGATGCAAAGAGCTTCCTTTTCCAAAAGGCCCTCCACCCATTTTCCAGCCTGTCATAGTGTTCGCATTGGCAAGTTAGTAACGAATGTTTTCACCTAAAGAAAGTAAGAATTCCATTCTATACATGTGCTACAAATTGCCTAAAGGCAGAGCTGTTCCTTCTGCCCATCTCAATCCATCAGAATTCCACTTTCATTTTTCTGTTCTGCACTGAGAGAATAAAAGAAAGAATATGATTAGTTGTAATGGGCAACAGTCAGCTATTCCGTCACACACTGACCCTGAAGCTTGCTGAGCTCTGTCCAGCCTCAATAACAGTACAGTAGGGAGCTGTATGCATAAAAATTTGCACCAGACATGAGGTGGTCTCTATGTAGTCTCCAAGAGTTGGAAATATAATCTTCAAATAATAATATAAACAGTAATAACATTTTGTCAAACAGCATATATCAACTTAAAATTGCTTTAAAGAGACCCTTTCTCCAAAAAAATGAAGGTAGAAGCAAAGGAAAAATCAAGTATTATACATCTGACATGGTCATACAACTTCCTCTATCCACTTCAGGACTTTAAAAACTTTGTTTCTATCTTAGAACACTTTACCACTTTCCTGGATGGGCAAAATCAAGATAACCTTGCTCCTCAAACTTGTATATTTCTTCCAAACCCTCCCCCCTTCCTACTTTTTTTTTTCAGACCTATTTAAAAGCATATTATGTTCTTTATGTAGAATGATCATCACTTCAAGGAATCCTACAAAACCATGTACATATACCACAAACAAGGTGGTCCAGGGGTTCCTAACCTTACCGAATACCACTACGTAGCAAGCAATACTACCTTAGCCACCTTCCAAGTCTCGGTGGATACTCCTTTCTGGGTACTCTTGGCGATTCCCATTGCTTATCCCATCTCTTTCCACACCATCCCTTGGATTCCTGAAAACCAAAGACCTAGTCATTTTGGTCTACCTTTACAGCACTCCTTGACAGTTTGGGATTAGGTTAAATTCTCCAGCTTCCTAGCAGTCACCTACCTCCCACTTACAAATCTTCTAGTCAACCTTGTGTTCCCCTTTGCCTTGGATTGTCCTACAGTTCATACTATACTAAAGCCTTTGATTTTATTCGCGGTTCTCATGCTGTCTCTTGGGAAGATATTCTTTCTATCAGACCATCCTATACACTCATATTCATCACTGAATACTAACTTTATTATCCGGTCATGTCTCACACACACATTCTTTGAGCTTACCTATTCTAATAATCTTCAACCTACCAAATATATTTAAGCTTTGTAATCCCAGCAGAACCTTCTCACCATGGACTATACAACACTTACCCTAGCTTAAAACGATACGATATTTTAAAAACCTCCTGGAGGATATCGCCCAGATTGCCCCCTCTTCCTCTGCCTCTTCCTGCACACTTCTTCCTTTGTAACCCTCTTCTTCCTCATTCATTTCCATCTTTTTTATTTTATACTCTCTCATCTTCCCCTCCTTTTTTTATTTTCTTCTTTGTCTTGGCCCCTTTTTTCTTTATTTCAAAGCCACAATTGGGCCACCCATGGATGGTGGGCAACACTTTCAGCACATCCTTCCCCACAGCTCCATTTTTACAAGATTGTTTACTAAGCACCATGCTGGTTTGCGTATATGGCACCTTTACACTGTAACGTGTTTGTCATGTGCTGTTGTGGTTCTTCTGTTGCCTTATCCTGCTAAAGTTGTACATGATCTGCATAGTTTTGCTTGCATTATAAAATAGCTAAGATTCAATAAACAAATTGAAAAGGAAAAAAACAAGCATTTCAATTGCTTATTTGTAGTGTTTATTTACATTTTTTCCACTTTAAATGGGCCTTTGAACTTACTAAACATACTAGCAGAGACAGTTTTAAAGCATAGTCCCCTCCCTCCTTGCACATTATAGCCTTCTCCTTCCTTGAGAATCTCTAATTAGGGTCTGTGCTGGCCTAACTCCACCTCCCCTTCCTACATAATAATATTTTATGTACAGTAGCTGCCAGAATAGGAGGGAAGAGTGATACTAAAGAGCATGCTTTCTCAACCAGGGTTCCGTGGAACTCGAAGGTTCCTTCAGAGGTTGCTAGGGGTTCCTTGAGAAATTAGCAATTTCTGCCTCACAGTTCAAGCTATCTGCTAAGGGTAATAAGACTCTAGCTATCTGTAAGAGGGTAATTATTCCCAATGATCACATGTGTAAGGAGCATTCTTCCTACTGACCATCACACTAATGTATCATGAGTTGTAGATAGTCATTTTTTACCAGGTGTTTCCTGAAAGTTATTTCAAGGTTTCCTCTGTGTTGAAAAGGCAGAGAAAGGCTGCTATTACTGTGAGA